GATATAAAGTAAACCCATATATATTATATATATATTTCTATATATTATCAACAAAACCCTGTGAGAAAAGATAGTAAAAGATACCCATTTAAAATAACTATAGATGGTATGTATACCTACAAAAGAAACACAGGAACTACATGAACATAATTATAAAACATTTTTATACGAATGAAGTTAGATTTGGAGAAATATTGTTTCTGGGCAGGCAGAGCCAATATAAAAATGAAATTTTTCCTAATGTAATCTGTTTATTCAATGCCATCCCAACTAAATTACCAAAAAAATTATTTTACTGAGCTGGAAAAAACAGTAACAAAACTAATTTAGAAGAACAAAAAGTCAAGAATATCAAAAGAATTAATGAACAAAAATCTAAAGGAAGGAAATTTAGCAGTACCAGATCTTAAACTATACTACTGAAAGACAGTAATTAGCAAAATTGTTTGGTACTAGCTAAGAAATAGAAAAGTAGATCAGTGGAACACAGTAGACATACAATACACAGTAGGAAATGATTATAGTAACCTTGTGTTTGACAGATGTAAAGATTTAAGCTTTTGGAATAAGAATTCATTATTTGATAAAAATTGTTAGGAAAGCTAGAAAGCAGTTTGGCCGAAATTGGCCATGGGGGCAGCTAGGTGGCGCAGTGGGTAGAGCACTGGCCCTGAAGTCAGGAGGACCTGAGTTCAAATGCAGCCTCAGACCAAACATTTGATGCTTACTAGCTGTGTGACCCTGGGCAAGTCACTTAACCCCAATTGCCTAAAAAACAAAACAAACAAAAAAAGGTAATATTGTGTGCAGTTATAGCAGTATTGTTCTAAGAACATCTTTGAACAACTCAGTCATTTTGAGTATTATAAATATGCAAATCAACTACAAAGGACCTATGAAGGAAGGTGCTATCCATCTCCAGAGAAAGAACTGAAAAATAGAAGTATGTGTAGCATGTTTTTACACGTGTGTGTATATACATACGTTTATATCTAATGGTAGCCTTCTCTAGAGCAGAGTGGGGAGGGAGGGAGAAAAAAAAAGTACCCAGCGGGAAACTCAGAAGAAAGCGCAGAAAAGGAAAAGTTCTAGGAAGGTCCTACATAAGAAAAGATCCTGATAAGAGAAAGAAACCTTTCCTTTTTTAATTCTTTAATGCGGTAACAGAGCAGCTATGTGATGCAGTGGATAGAATGCTGGCCCTGGAGTCAGGAGGACCCGAATTCAAATGTAGCTTCAGATACTTTGTAGCTGTGTGACTGGCCAAGTACCTCAACCCTATTCACCTCAGTTTCTTCATCTATAAAATGACCTGGAGAAGAAAATGGCAAATTACTTCAATGTCTTTGCCAAGACAACCTCAAATGGGGTCATGAAGAGTCAGACACTACTGTACAACGACAAATGTTGTAACATATTAAAAGAAAGCATTTTAGAAGGCAGTATGGTTCTGAATTTTCAATGGGAAGACCTGCATTACAGTACTGTCTCTGCCACTTAATATTGCCCGAGTGACTGTTAGGCAAGACATTTAACCTTATGGTTGGCCTCAGTTGCCTCATCTGTGAAATGAAGGAGTTGGGTTAGATCTGCCAACAAGCATTTATCAGTCACTTGCCATGTGTCAGATGCTGTGGTCACAAAGACAAAAACAGAAGTTTCTTCCCCTCAAGTAGAATTACATATGGAATAAATACAAGGTAGTGTGGGGAGGTAGGGCCTGAACAGCTAGGGGGATCAGGAAAAGCTTCATCTAGAAGGTAGTCCTTGAAGTGAGTTGTGAAGGAAACTAATGAAATCTATGAGACTGAGGGAGAGGGGGCATTGGTGAGGTGGGGAAGAAGGAGAGAGTGTATTTTAAGCACTGGGGAAAGCCAGTGCAGAGGAATGGTGATGAGAAAGATGGAGTGTTATGGTCTGAGGAATAGCAACAGGGCCAGTTTTGCTAAGCCTTAGCAGGTGTGAACAGGAATACATACATGCATACACACATACGCATAATACACATGTACACATACATACATACATAGAGAGAGAGAGAGAGAAAGAGGGAGGGGGGAAGCGCCTGGAAATGCAGGTTGTGGTCAAGTTGTAATGAGCCTTAAAAGTCAAACAGAAGAATTTATATTTTATCAGTATTAGCAAGAATAGGAAGCTCTGGAGTTCGAAAAGGACAGTGATGTGGTCAGCAGACTTATACTTAAAGAAAATTACTTTTGACATCTTTGTGAACGATGAATTGGAGTAGGGAAAGACTTGGCAGAGAGACCAATTAGGAGACTAAGATCCCTTCAGGTTCTAAATCTGTGATCCAGAGACTAACGTTGTGACATCTAGTTCCTTTTTCTTACCGAATAAAAATGGATTGTTAGTCAGTAAGAGCACTGTGAAGAATGCCAGCTAACTGTCCAATAAAATAAAAGCTTCTGTCTAATGAGCGGTGTAATAACATTTAAGCATTTCAGCTTGTCATATCTCTCCATTTCCCCATCTCCTGCCCATGAAAAGAAATTTAATGTTTTAGTAGCATGAAGAAAAATGACGTATATTAACTTCTTATTTGGTCCTCTCACCTGCTATATCTTTCTAGTTTCACAGAGGAATTAATTAACTAGAATACCTACATAGTATGTAGACTGGGGTGATAAATATTTATATTTTTTGTTCCTTTTTTTCTCTACTTTAATGGTCACACTGATAGTGATAAATCCTAATACTGTTTTTTTTGTTTGTTTGGTTTTTTTTTTTTTGCTGACTTTTTGCTTTGTTGCTATGCCTTTGCTAATCTCTTTGGTAGATCCTACAATCAGGCAGTAAGCATTTATTAAACATCGTATGCCATTAAGAAGCATTATGGTATAGTGGATAGAGTCAGAAGGTCTTGGGTTCAAATTCTGCCTCTGCCACTTAAGTAGTTATATGGTCATCAGCAAGTCACTTGATCTTTGTAAGACTCTGTTTATCAGTAAAACTTGGATAATACCTGTAGTATGTACTTCACAAAGCTATTGTAAGCCTCAAGTTAGTGTGTATAAAGTGCTGGCATACCTTAAAATGTTGCAAAAATATGAATTATTATGATCTACTTTATATCATCTCTGAAGGGTTGGTATATTATAGCTGCTTTTTTGATTCTTTTGCCATATTGAGGGAGAACAGCATAATTACCTTCCTCTACTTTCCCTCTTCTTGACATCTTCCCCACCCCTGAAATCCCACTAGCAAGTTCCATGAATCTTCTTAATTGAGGAGGTTTGTTTCTCAAAGATGGTGATATTGATCTCTGACTTAATTACAATGAGTAAGAGATCTTTTCTCTCCAAGTGATACGGGGATATGGACACCCTAAAATGAGCTGATAGGAAAATAATAGGTTGGTATATGAAAACAGGGAATTTATTTTTAGAATTTTTGTTCCGCAAGTAAATGCTGGTCCTGGTAGTCAAATCATTTTGATTTCAGATTTTAATTTCTCTTTGTGTTTCTTTGGTGTGGAAATTGCTTCCATAACGTGGGCATTGAGTTTTCATTGTAGTATATAAAATTGAGTGGTTGTCTTTCTTACTCATTTGTAGTTCCGTGATCTAATTTTTTCCATTAAAAGAAATGACAGTTGGGACATGTTCTAGAAAGATATGGATGGTGATTTTCTTTCTAAAAACAAGTTTTTATTTTATATACGTATGTATCTATGTACACATACACACACAGATACCTACACACACATATATATTTATCACTTACATTACTCACTGTATCTTTTCCCCTACCTCCTCTTAGAAAATCATCCCTTATAATAAAAAAAGAAAGAGATAGAGAAGGGGGAAAATGTTCAGTGAAATGAACCAATTTTTGAACCATGATTTTCTGATATAGATTGTGCATGTCTCCTTTGCATATGTTTAATAATGAGAGACTTTAGCTATCTAAATATGTGTTGGATGTCTCTTTCTGCAAAAAATTGTTTTTTGACTTTCTGTACTGACAATTTCATATCAATTTAATTCAACATACACTTCTCATGTGTGGGATCTTGTGCTGGGCACTGGGGAAAATACAAAAAATTAAGTAAAATATGCTCCCTGCACTCATAGGAGCTTTTAACCCAGTGTTAACCATTTATCTCAGCAATAGAAAAGTAATTTCTGGACTTAATCCTGACCCATGGGAGAACTAATTGATGAGGAGGAAGTGGCAGGAAAAGAGAGTAATCATGTTATTTTAAGGTTCCTAATAGTAAAGAAAGGTAGACAGACATGAGCCCTAGATTTATTTAAGAAAACAGAAGTCAGGTGACTTAGATGAATTTATAGAAGGCTTACTTATCAGATTTGCAGCTGGCCTCAAGACTCTTTGATAATGTTCTATCTCATAATTGAAAACCAGAAAGTTCTTAACATAACACAGCTTACTGGTTGGAATTTAGCAGATGCAAATGTAAAAGTCTCTAAGGTTAAGGCTTTTTATGTAAATGGATTTTGTGATCAAGTGCTTGCATGGGCTGGCCTTTGGGGATTTTAGAAGACTGCAAGCTTAGTAGAAGCTAACAAAATTGCTTATAGGATGTCTAGTGTATAGCTCAGGCATGTAGTAATTAGAACAGTCTCCAAACCAGATGGGACTGGCAAAGAATAAGCTCCCTATCACTGAAATTTTTGGATGATCTCTACTCGTTGTTTTTGTAAGAAGAATTTCTACTTTGGATGAGTTGTTGAACTAGATGACTTTTAATTTTAACTCTTAAGATTCATTGATACTATTTTGCTATTATTTGTTTCCTAATAATGTTAATATTTGAATTTTTTTTGGGGGGGGGTGTTTCCAAAGTATCTGGTAGTTTTTTGTTGTTTAATATGAAAAGAAATAACTGATTTCCTGGCACTCCTTTCTCCCAACCCTGTCTTGCCTAATATCTCTTAATACTATTAAGTTATATATTTTTATGATTTTCTTTTTTCACATCTTTGAGTTGGTTATGATGCTTCTGTGTTTGCTTTCAGTTTAAGATCCTTAATGTACCAATGTCTTCTCAACTTGCTGCAAATCATTGGAACCAACAACAGGCAGAGCAAGAGGAGAGAATGAGAATGAAAAAACTCACACTGGATATCAACGAACGTCAGGAACAAGAAGATTATCAAGGTTTGGAATCTCTTAGAGAAGAAAAGTGCATATTCTATTAAAAATTATCAAAGCTAAAGAAGTTGATGAGTGGAAATTTTATGCTTTTTTAAAAAACAGAATGGATTAGATATCAAAGTCACCATGTTATTGCTCATTTAATCTTGTCTTATTTTAGTCAGATAACTTCTTTTAAAAAAGGAAGTTCCTTTGAAAACATTAAGGCTTCCACCTGCCTTATTCTATCATCTTTCATTACTTTATTGAGTTCCATACTTAGTTGGACTCCCATGCAGAGTGGTAAATATTAGATGAAAGTAAAATAATAATTGATTTCATTTTCTAATTGTGGTGTGAATATTTACCAGAGGATTACCTTATAAGTAGATGAAACTTAATTTTATACATGATCATCAGTGTACCAAGTGATAATTAGAGGGCAATGGTGAGTAATTAATGTAAACTATTATAATTGGTTTTTTTTTTTATTACACCAAACATTACTAGATTCATCTGTGGTGAAATAAGTGAGGAATTTGGTAAAATAGGAAATATCTCTGAAGTTCCTATGAAGATTATTGGATCTGTAACTCGAGAAAGTGCATCCAGGCAACCTCTCTACTTCAGTATTCTAGTATCACAGTGTCAGATTATTTCACATTCTTCATTCTCTCATCAATATCCTGCTGCCAATTTCCACTTCCCACCCTTTCCTGTACCTCAAAAAGTTTTTCCTCAATGTTCCTGTCTGGAGCCTGCTGTCCAGGATATACTAGTCCAGTCCTTTTCCCTTCCATGACAGTAGAAATAGTTTCTAGAGAAGTGGAGAGGATTGCGTCCCCTAAAGCTAAGCCGTATGTGGGACCACATTGCTTGCCCTGTCCTATTTCCCATGAGGAGAGGTATATCTGCTGGCCAAGGACTCCTTGAGTAAATGGACCTTGAATGCTTCTGTAAGTAGTCCCAGCTTCTTGTATGCCCCCTGGGTCCTGGAATTTTCACAGGACCTTCAGAGGAAACTTCCTGAACCACTTAGTAGCTAGAGGCCAGAAATATTTACTTTCTTCTTTTGCTAGATCCTCTCATATATAGAAGCTTAGTGGGATGATTTAAGGGACTTGAGCTGTGTTCTTCCCCACCCCTTCTCCCCCTTTCTTCCTGCCAAGTAAACACAAATAGGGAAAATATTGTTCACTTATGTGTTAGAATTGGTTTGATCAAATTGTCTTCCAGATGTTTTGATGGGATTGGGTTGAGTAGCAGGGATTTGGATGGTCATGCCTGGATGGGTCACTGTGTAGAGTGATTTGGATAGGAGGACAATACGAATGTGAAACTCTTCCGACATAAGGAGAAGGCATTGCTAAGAGATAGAAGGGCAATTGTTAGCAAAGACAATCCCTACTTTGAAGTTTTGCCTAGGGAATGCCCTATCCCTTTCCCTTCTCTCAATGACCAAGGACAACTGTCTTTTAACATATGTCCCCACTGTGTTACCGTAATCAATCTGGAACAGTAGAAAGAAGTGACAATGATAATTTGCCCAGGAGTCTGAGGTACTTTTACAGGGCCTAGAATTGGTATGGACAACAAAAGTGTATGTGTGTATATATTTTATCTTCTGTATCACTACATACATAGATAGTGCATTATTAGTATATACTTAAAATATGGTTATATTTGTTTCTGCCAAATGTGGCCTAATTCAAATTATTCTAGACTTCCTAACTCTCTTACACAATAGCACAAATCTGGAAATGTTGTTTACTAGCTTGTTCCAAAATGCCTTGGGCCATTGGGCATATTCAGTAGTTGAGGCACATGTTCAGCTTTGATCTTTCCCAGGGTACAGAGGACCAGCTCTGACTCAGCCATCGTAGTTGGTATGATATTCACTTATGTTTGCCCTAGTTTAGAGGATTCCAGATCATATGGATTAGCTTTTTTTTCTCTTATCCCATAAATTCTAACAGTATCAAAGAAACACAGTGGTTCTTTCTTAACCTAGGATATAGCTTCTGTATTTTGAAGCAAATTGGCCCTTTGGACGTATAGTACAGGAACATTTTGTCAACAGTATACCTTTTAATATTCATGCTTAAGTGAGCATGGCACCCAGATATAAATCAATAAACATTTATTGGAGCACCCATTTTTTGCATAACAGAGGATGTACTCAGACTTCCATAGTAGTATGATAGAACCAAGTTATTTTGTTCTGTTTCCAGGATTATTCTTCTCAAGGGATGACTGCTTGGCTCACCAATGGTATTTAGATTAATGATAAAGTGACCTTTGGGTATTGAGATTTTCTTATGCCCTAAAGTACTCTTGTGGAACCTTTAGCTTATTTTAAGTGGAATTAGGATCCCCCCCCCCCCAGAGGGTGCTGATAGCTTGCAAAATGGTTAAAAGTTGATTACCCCAAGATGTAATTGCATCTTACTGAAGTTAATTCTTGTTTGTTTGGTTTTTATGCACATAATTCCAGAGATGTTGCAGTCTCTTGCACAGCGTCCAGCTCCAGCAAACACCAATCGTGAGCGACGGCCCCGTTACCAGCATCCAAAGGGAGCACCTAATGCAGATCTAATCTTTAAGACTGGTGGGAGGTAAGACTGTCTTTTGTTCATTCACCTTAAAAAAAAAACGGACCTATGGTTTCTTTGCTATAGGAAAGTTCCATTGAAGAAATTCCTTTGACCACAGCAGATTAGCACCTGCTCTGTAACTTGAAGTCGTAGAGAACTACCGCGGGCATTTATTGACAATCCATTTTTCATTATGTCTAAATAAATAAAAAGATAGTTCTGGGATTACAACCATAAAAACACTAAGCATCTGTATCTAAAGAGCACTCTGCTAGGTGCTGATTATTTAATGACATGCGTAATCAATATTTTCTTATTTTATTTAGTTAAAATAGTTTTGATTTTGCAAATGTTTTTAAGAAAGAGTATTTTTTTTAAGCAATGATGCTTTCTTTAAAAATTAATTTTTAACAGCACACATTTTGGTTTCATATCATCATGGGTAAACATTTTGGTTTCTACTTTCCTTTTTACATTTCCTCTAAGATTCTAGTAAAGGTAGAACTGATTATACTTTTTGTTGTCTGATATGACCTTAATGTTACTTTTAAAAAAACAGCAATGTGTTTATTTTTCAAGTATGCAGTTGGAATTTGTTTTAGATGTGTGTTTTGGTTCTGAAGTTTCCTGGTGGGATCCATGCCAAAGTTACTTACAACCATTTGAGTATATTATTCTTGATAATTAAATTTGTATTAAGAGCTTCAAATTAAGCCATTCCTCGGTATTTCAGGTTGTTGTTATGGCTCCCTGGTATTTTATCTAAATACCCAAGTTGTTTTAAAGAATCCTGGAAAGTGAAGTAACTTTGGTTTTCTCATCTTAACAAATTGATATTAAGATTATGTACTTTCTCTGCTAGTTTTACATCTTTTCTCTTAAACTGTAAGTACCACGAGGGCAGGAACCATGTTTTATCAGAATTTGTTATTTCCCCAGTACTTAGCCTGTTGTTCAGTGTACCAAAGGTACATAATTAATGTTCATTAAACTGAATTCATCTTTTATATTGTGTAAAATTGAAGCCCGTGACTTTTTTTATCTGATCACTATACTTAAATTTTACCAATTTATGAGCATAGTCCTATAAATATATCCTTTCTCAACAGGAAAGATATAGTGGGTAGATTGAGGTAGGGATCAGTTCCAAGCCTTTACTTAAGGAGTAGCAGTTATGTAGAACTGACTGCATCTGAGTGTATTAGTTTGCTTCCATAAGAAAAAATATTTCTTTGAATTGCATACTTACAGGCAATCCTAATCAAATTGCTTTTAAGAAAATTGGTTTGTCATGACAGTTTGAGTTTCTCTTCTTTGACATCTGTTGAGTCTGACTTTTCAGAAAACCTAGTTAAATTAGAGAAATGGAGCAAAAAGCTGTCTGATTAGGTATAATAGGATGTTAGAGTTTTTTTAAAAAATTATCTAAGAGTTCATTGCAGACCTCTAATAGTCTGTTTTTATTGCTGGTAAAATATAGGAACTAGGTTAATAAGCAGTGAAAAATGCCACTTCCTTAACCTTACTATGGATATTTTTGAAGTATTTTAAAAAGTAGCTTTAAGTACATTTAATCTTCTTGGTAACAACTATTGTCTTCTTGTCACTTCTAAAACCCTGGACTTTTCTTTTATCCTGAGGATGTTGTCCAACTCATTTGACCTTTGTTTAGGTGGCTGGCTAAAATTCTGAATAGTGTTAGAATTTCTGTTTCACTGAAGTTTTTATTCAAACTCATTAATTTCTCATCTGTTACTGTAGCATTTGCCTTTTCCCAGTTATAAACTTTAGGGTGTCGTGATCTTTGAAGTGAAAAATTCTGGAGAAACTACCCTACAAATTTGCTTTCTAGAGTAGAATTTATTCCTTCAACAAATTTTTAAGAGCTTAGCAGGTGCTTAACACTGTCCTGAGTTTGTTTGATTATCCTAGATGTTCTTCTATGTCTGGTTTTCATTTCGTTGCTCTCTTGGTTCTTCTTCTACCTATCTGATTCTCCTTTTCAGTATCCTTTGTTGGATCATCAACCATGATCTGTGCCCTGTGTATGTATCACAGGTCTCTATCTTTGGCCCGCTTTTCTTTCTGTGTTCTTTCTTGGTGATCTTATTAGCTCCCATGGGTTCTGTGATCTTTATATAGATGATTCCAAGAAATGTGTATCCTGGTCTGTTCCATCTTCTGAACTCAAGTCCCACATCACTAAGACTTTTTAACTGAATGTCTTATAAACATTTCAAACTCAGCATATTCTAATGTACCTCATTATCTTTACTCCCAAACCCATCATCTGTCTTCCTAACTTCCTTATTGGTTTTTGGTACCACCTTCCTTAAATTCACTCAGGTTAGCAACCTCAGAGTTATCCTCAACTTTTAACCCTTCCCTTAACATTTCCCTCCTCCCTCATCAATTGCTGGGTCTTGATTTTTCCTGCGTGACGTCTCTTGCATCTGTCACTTTCTGTCTTTCTCATCACATAGCACTACCCTAGTGCAAGTCTTCATCACCTTTCACCTAGACTGTTGTAGCAGTCTCCAAATTGGCCTACCTCACATCTGCTTTCTCCAGTCCAGACTTCACAGTGGTGACAAAGTGATATTTCTAAAGCACAGATCTAACTCTCTGCACAAAAGGCTGCAGTGTCTTCCTATCGCCTTTAGGATCAAATATAAATTCCTCTGCTTGGTATTTAAAGCCCTTCTTAACTTGACTCTAGCTTATCATACCAGTCTTGTTACACATTACTACCCTTCATCTACTCTATGGTCTAGTCAAACTGACCTACTTGTATTTCGTTACCTTACACATAATAATGCATTGCCCAATTCAGTGCCTTTGGCATAGGTTATCCTGACACAACCCTGGCCCTCCCATGCCTGGAATGTACTCCTTTTCTGATCCTCCTTCAGTTACTAATGTCTCCCCTCCAAAAGAAAATTTATTTTTACTTAGTATAATTTTTAAAAATCTGCTTTTCAGGGCTGTTTCCCCTGAGAAAATAAAAGTTCATCAAAGGCAGGGACTTTTTCATTTTGATCTTTGTATCTCTAGCACCTAACTTATTACCTGACATGTAGTAAGTACTTAATAAATATGTATTGATTGATAAAGATTGTTAAGGTTATTGACCTTCATGTTTATAAGCTGGTAGGGGAGTAAAAATTCATCTATCTACTAGAAATGTTTGTATGTGTATATGTATATTGAATCACTAATTAAGTTCCAGTCATTTTCTTCCTCTTATAGCTTTCCTTAGCTTATTAACAGTTTCCTGATTATTTTTCAAAACTTTCTATCAACTTATTTTATGAGTTCCTAATCTTTGACATTCTCCCCATGGCTCCTTCTCATCTTAAAAGTTTAAGCCTCTTCTTTTGCCTGTCTATATTTTGGGGGAGCACAGGTGGAAAAAGTGACCTGCCTGAGCAATTACAACTTCCTCTCTTAAATCTCTTCATAAAAATCTTATTTTTCCATACTTCTTATGAATAGCGCGCTGCAAAATATTTATGGTGTTCTCTAAAAATAAACCTTTCTGCCTGAATTTCCATGTTGTAAAAGAGTTTTTACAGCTTCGATATTTAATTTATTTCCACAAATTTGTTCATTTCCTAAAAGGCAAATTATAAAGAGAATTTCTAAAGGACATTTCATATTTGCTGACAGTACGCTTGTCAGATAAATTCCACTAAAATCTCAGCTTTCTTATCACTGGCAGAAGTAACTTATTAATCTTTTTATGCCTTCTTATTGGTTGTAATGGTAGAGAGCCATAAGATAATGATCAAGATTGATAATCATCTCAGCAGACTGCAAAGAATTTATAAGAATGTTTAAATGAAATGGCAGCCTAGAGAATCTGTTCTGTTATTGTGTTTCTATAAGTATATGACTTCTCATTAGTCTAGTCTCAACACTGTCATCCTTACTTGTTTATTGTGAAAGCTAGTTCCTCTTTTTGAGTTGCTTTATGATGCAAAACCTTTAGTTAACAGGACTGTGAAAAAATAGGTATTGCATACATATAGAAGCAGGTGAAAGTGGGCAAAGGCAGAGAATAATGTTAAGCATGAATCTTGAGACTTTTTTGAGTGATATATATTTCTTTATTTTGTTTTAAATCTAATGACCTGAAAGAACACAGCCCTATGGAACGCTTCTTCTAATGTTGTTGTTGTTGTTGTTGTTGTTGTTGTTCTGTGATCTTGACTTTTTGCAAATAGACCTGTATTTTGGTCTGTCACTTATACGTGCTACGAATATGGGGACATGCTAAAGCCTTTGATTTTTACAGAAAGAGTGCTTGAGAGCAGAGGCTGAGAAATTGCAATTCGCAGTTTGGTTTTATGTTTTTCTAGCATCAAGGCAGATTTTAATTTTGGTAACATATAAATGCAAATAAGGAGAAATATACTTAGAAACAAATTATGTTAGTCTTATATAACAACATAATATTTTAAAGTTTTCTTAACTGTAGATTTTCATTGATTTTCAAGGTCACTAATTATAAGTACAAAGTTTTTCCATGTTTTTAATTAAAAATCTTCAAAGTTTGTGTGTAAATTAAGACATTGACTTTGTCATTGGGGCTTTCAGGCTATAACAAGTGTGGAGTGTTTAGTTACAGTGATATACAGTGTAACTAGATCTCTTGTTCATAGAACTCACTGTCCATCTCTTGATCCCTGATCTTCCCATTTTTTATTAATTTTCAATCCTGGAGACTCCATTGGATATTTTTGCATTTCCACCATCCAACTAACTCTTTGCACAGCTCTGGAGTTGAAAACTACTTCTTACTGAGATTTTGTGTGATGGATGTATTGAGCTGGGGCTAATTTATCTGCAGCTTGAATGAGCATAGCTGCATCATCCTTTTGAGATGCAGATTTCTCTAATGTCCTGAGTTGCTTGTGCTGTCTCCCCCCCCCCTTCTTTCTCCTTCTCACTCTCCCTCTCTTTTTTTCTCCTCCTCCCTCTCTCCTTCTCTCTTGTGGTGATCTAATCTGCTTCTATGGGTCC